ATTCTAAATTTAAAATAATGGTGTAAAGCAGAGAAATAATGAAAACATTCATTTGTTTGTACTTTATTGACGTTATTTTTAATTAAATAATAATATACAGTGAAAAATATGTACAATATATTATTTTATTTAATAGAGTTTAAAGCTTTAATATAAAATTAACATAATTAATATTCTATATGTTTCAAGGAGTTTCAAGGTTAAATATTTTTACACTAATTACTTTCTTCACGATAATGAAACACAATTTGATAAATAATAAAAATATGAATTTTAATAGAAAATATAAACAATTTCAGAAGTAAATAGTTGCAAACATATTTTTATTAACTTAAAATGATGTTGTTTGAATTCATATTATAGTTTCAATTATTATTGAAATTCAATTGTTTTTTTAATATTTATGTTCTGAAAATTATTTTAGGATTTGTTTAACTTCATTTATACCAAAACTATCTGGTGAATTTTTTTCTCATGCTATTTCAAATTTTCTCAAAATTTAATAATTTTTTAAATTACCAAAATAATACTTTATATATTACTTTAAATGCAAAAGTTATTAAATATAACAGAACTATCAGAATCTGAAAATCAAGATCAACCAAACCATAATCTGGAAATCAATATGACCCAATTCAAATTCGTTTTTTTTCTTCGCAATTTAAACCAAAGCTACTAACTCAATGCTTTAACCTTTTTAGTGTTGGTAGTATTGAATGAAAACGTATTATTCATATCTCATTAAATGCCCCAGTCTCAGTTTCTACGTACACTGTAAGTTATAATGGCTTCTCCGACTGTTTATATCCATCCCTTTTAACACTCATCAGTTTTTTTTTGGGCAACGCACACATAAGTTTAAAATCCATTTATGGTAGAAATGTTTACATCCTGTTTATGTAAAACCCGTTTAATTTATGTACTTTAAAAAAAAATATATGCTTAAACAAAGCTTTGATAAATAGAAAAAAAAAGTATTCCAAAGAATAATTCTATCAAACCATGTATGGTTTACCTGTTTATGTAAGAATTTTTTTTATTTTATGTCTGTTAATGTTTATTTAGTTTTTTTTTCTTTCAAATACTTAAATAATTGTATTTATTAACTTCTCATGTTATGATTTAAAATTTGAAACAGTTGATATATTTTTAATTGTATGTGCATTTCATATAGCATTGATTTTTTGAATTGATTATATAGTCTGTTATGCATAAAATCAAGTACTTAACTTAATATAGCATTGATTTTTTGAATTGATTATATAGTCTGTTATGCATAAAATCAAATACTTAACTTAAGAAAATGGTTATCAGAAATTTCGTAATGTTTCCAAAGCTAGTGTGAACTGTGAAATGTAAAAAATGCACGACGTGGCTCGTGAGTGAACAAATGAGTACCACAAAACATAATTAAACGCAGAAGTACATTGCGTAACAAAACATAATTAAATATTTATCATTATTCCAGACGACTGAGTTGCTTAAGTTTCACGTTGCTCTTCTACTTGTATTTCTGTCAAGTCCTCACATCCATATACTAACACTGAGCATTAATAGTTCTATAGTAGGTTCAGATTGAAAATCTGTGTCTGCAAAACAATGAAATAAAACCATCAGAACTATGACAAAACAAAAGATCTGGCTTAAATCCATCAACCCATAATGAGGTGAGATTCCTCATCATAACTAATAACCAATGTTTCTGCTGTATGTTATAGACTTACAGTTTCCTTACAATTAACAAAACTACAGCTTAATAAACAAAAGCCCTCGCTTAGGATGAATCATAGCCATTGTTTTGTCCCATGAAGCACTATTGGTTTCTTCTAACCTTACCTAGTAAGGACGCATCTCAGTTAATCAACTGAGTCCACAGCAATTGACAGTTCCACCGAATTCAAAGAGAAACTCCAAGAATTAGCAGCAAGAAATGTGTACACGACCTTTTTGTGCTTAAGGAGCAAAAGTCTTTGTCTGCACACATGAGTAAATTAGTGAAGTAAAAGAGATAGACATTGAAATAACAGAGGAAGGTGCTGAGATTTAAAATGAACAGACCTCTTCAGCTTCAATCAACAATTAACATCCGTAATTGTAACAACAACAACATCATAAAACATGAAAATTACATTATTAAATGGATGGAACAATTAGCTTTGTATTGCAATCCAAAAAGGTGGCACACCACAGAGCAAGATGAATAGAATAATCTATGCACTTCAAATATCGGTCTCTTTTCCGTAACTTCGTCGGAGGAAAACACTCTCGAGTTAACCATATCAGAGAGAATAAATATGCCAACAAAGTTATAGAATATGAGTTGGAGAGGAACAAAGCATACCTTTTTATACCCGTGAAAGCACTGTCTCTAAGAATATTAACACACATTGAAGTGTAGATTGTGGCCGAAGGAGTTTAGAACATGTTTACTGCGATGGATCCGGAAGCTATCTCGTTTCGATGGATGGAAAGAAGACAAAAGGACTGTTAGAAAACCAACCAACGAAATCGTCAGACAGACCTCATCATCTTAGTTCTCTAATGGCGGATTTAGACGATTGTGGTAGAACCCTAAATCACGCCTTTATGGCAGATATCGACGACTATGGTGGAACCCTAAATCACGAAACGGTGCGGATCAAGAACATTAGTGGTTCACGCTGGGCTGACTTTCTTGTAAGACAATATGAAGCCCAAACATTACACGGAAAACACATATAAAACGCACCGTTATAATATAGCAGACAGGTGTCACTCACTGATGAGAGTATTTGATGACATGGCTTTACCATGAGTGAGCAAACAATTCTTTATAATAATAGATAGATAGATAATAGAGATATTAATTATATGCAAGTTCTTTTGAAAACAACATTGTGAAGAATCAGAAACTCATTTAAAAAGAAAATAGAAAGGTTTGAAGGAAGAAGACGAAGAAGAAAGAGAGAAGAAAACAAAATAATATAAAATTAATATTTTATTGTTTAGTCATAAAAATATTACACTCAAAGGCAGTTTTAAGTTATTTATAACACTTAAAGGCAGTTTGTTATACTAGCACACTTTTTTTCTAACGAATCATTTTCTTCTCGTCACTCTTTAACTAAACAACCGAAAAACTAAACTATTATATCATAGGGAATTAAACTCAGCCACATATTTTCTCAATTCCCAAAACCTTTTTTATTCTTTTTTTCTCTTTCTTTGTTCTTATCTTCTTCTCTTTTCTTTCAAGATTGCAGAAAACTACTTGTAAATTACTTTTTGTAAATCTCAAATTTGAAGAGATAGAGATCTATGATTTTTTTTTCAAAAAAAAGAGATCTATGATTACAACATGTTGTACTGTGTACAAACCTTTTTTCTGTCGTAAGAGTACCACTTATGTCTCCATCTCATATTTGCCTCTTTCTCTTCGCTGCCTTCACCGCATCATTCTCGTCGTCTCCTTCTCATCGTTGCCTTCGTCGTCTCCTTCTTTTTCTCGCCATCGCCTATGTCTCGTCGTTTTCATCTCCTCCATCTCGACGCTTTCCTTCGTTGCAAAAGCTCGATGAGCAACAATGGCAAGTTTTGACTTTATTGCATATCTGGTCCCTGACATTTGAATATATTCATTTTTGACCTATGTGTTTTTGATTTGCAAATATACCTTTTTAAATTGATTTCACACTTTTTAATTTTACTCACCATATTTTTCATAATTAAATTCAGTTATCTTTTTACATTTGTTCAGTCAATTCATTTTTTTGTTTCATCTTCATCACATAAAGAATTCATGAAGATGGACAGTATGCAAGGAAGAAAGACTGAACGCCATTTTGTACATGTGGATATGTAAATCGATATACAACCAGGTCCACGCACCCTTTTGTACACATGGATATGTAAAATGATGTACACATATATATCACTAAAAAATTGTACTTGTGGAAATTTTAAATGGTATTTACACTTTTACTAGTATATAATCTTCTCATCTCCGCAACAACCAAATTAAAATGTTTTGTTCATTTTAATACTTTTAAAAAAAAAAGGATACTCATTTTAATACACAATGGTTGTTTTTTAATTAAAAAAATACTAATAACTTTCAAACAAAATTTAAAAATCTCTACTTACAAAAAAATCTCAAAATATTCTAAATTTATTCAAAGCTTCAGAAATAATAATAATTTCATTTTCTAATTTTAAAATTTGTAATACAATTTTAAGTTTTAATATTAAATTTAGGTTTTTTCTAAATAGAAATTAAATTTATTTTTCTTCAAAATTCAAAGTTTACAAAATTAATTTTTTTTTCTATAATTTATCTACTTTCTTTTCTAAATCTTAAAAATAAAATTAAAGATTGCATATTGTTTTATATTTTTGAGATTTTTTTAAATTTGTTGAAACTTATAAGTATTTGAACTAAAATAAACACAATATGGATATTAAAATGCACAGTTTTAAAAATTTGTGTGTTAAAATGAATAAAATAACTAATTGAGATAATAAATTGGGTAACAAAAAGCTTAAAAAGTATTGTTTGGAGTATTTCTATGAATTTTTCGACTGATTTCTAAATTACTGTTCAATGGAAATAAACAAATAAGAAAAATACTTAGAATAGCACCACAACACAACCATACATTATTTTATTTATATATTTTGGTAAGCGAATGTTTCAAAATTTATAATTTATATTTAAATAATAAATTAGAATAAAACTTATATCATTTTAATTGCACCAACTAAATTACATGAGCGTTATTTTATCTTTTAGTTAACGCTTTTCAGAGTTTTAAAAATAATATATTATTTTTCGTGAATTTTTCGAATTCACAACAGAAAAAACATAGCCATCTTTATTTTCTGGTTTCTTTTTGTTCCGAATCAACTACGTGAACTGGTAAATTATTATAATCGCACACAAACCAAACATAAGAAAACAACATCCTCTCCTTGACTGCTTATTCCATCGCAACAACAAACACCAAACACCACAACCTCTCACTCTACTCAACTGAAATCTCTCGAACATCCTTCTTTGGCTTCTCCATCCTAGGAATCACAAGATCAAGCACACCATTCTTGAGCTCCGCCTTGATTTCTTCAACCTTAGCATCATCTGGCAGAGACAAGCTGGTATTGTAGTAACCATACATTCTTGAAGACCAGTACTCGTCTTCTTCAGGTGATCCTTCTTCTTCCTCCGCCTTGTGCTCTCCTTTAATCATCAGAATTCCATTATCTACCGTGATCTTCACGTCATCTTTGGTTAGCCCTGGAACCTCGTACCTTAGCTTGTAACAGTCGTCCTGCTCCTTCACTTGACCCATTAGTTGAGAGGGTCTGATGTTGAAGCTGTCGAAGATCCTGTTTATGTTCTCCGTTGCTTGCATCAGAGCATTACCTAGACTTGGAGGAAAGAACCCTGTTTCCAAACAGAGCAATCAATTGGACCCAATAAAAAAGATATATTGGTTACTAAGACTCACGTGATTTAGTGCAACAAGATGTTACATAAACAACTTTTTCCGTAATTTTGTGTAAAAAGGAATATACAGAAAAAATAATAATAATATGGGATACAGTTGAATTGCTAGGGAATACCAATGCTGGAAAATTTCATGAAATAAAATTCTCCTAGCTTTAAAACATTAAGTCCAAGTTAATTAGAGAGACTTAGGAACACACTAAAACATAGTATGAAACAAGTCCCATCACTATCAGAAGATATATCAAATTAAATATTTCAACATTATATGGAGTTAGTTTGTACTGTTTAAAAGTTTTTTTTATTTTGGTGTAAATGTACTGTTTAAATGTTATGGTTTATCTTCTTTTCTTTTGGTCGAAATCTTATGGTTAATCTTTGATTTTGAAAACTCACATTTCTGTTTTTTTTTCACGGATTATAGAAACACAAAATACCATTCAGTGCGGGAGCGAAGTAATCATGATAGTCGGTGGTACGCCAGAGACTCTTCCGACCACGTCTCCTGGGAAACGTACGTTTAGGAGACTTCTTCTCGGACACACTCACTTGCGTATTCTTATTTTCCTCTTGTTCACCACTCGAACTAGCCATGAATCTGTGTAGCTTACTCTGGCTATGTTGTTTCCCGACCAAACATCTTTCACCACTTGGACCCATCAAAGTAGGAGACAACTTTTGTTGAACGTTTCTCAGAGCCAAACGAGCCAAAGCCATTTTCTGTAAGCAGCTGGATTTCTTGATTTTGTTTTCTTGTTTTGAATTTGAAGGAAGAAGCCAAGACTTGTTGGGTTTATTAAAGATGGTTCTTCGTTATATGGTAGGGTTTATGAAATGTGTGAGAATTTTCTAAGAGTTTCTAGTTATGATGATTTAGAAACCTAGAACAGTGCAAGCAGCTTCATGTTTCTTCTACAACCTTTTTCTAGATAATCACAAGATTCTTTTTTTTTTATTTTTTTATTTGTAAGTAATCAACTAAGACGAATAGCTGAAGAAAGGTAAACATGACCAAGCCCAACCGTAATGACTATAGAGCTAGCAATTCCTAGAAAGATCGAGAATCTCATACTTATTCTGGTTTTGTCCTTTACTCTCAACCATTTTTTTTTTGTTTATTAAGCTTTCTCTAGATTTCTCCAAATTTCCAAATTTTCCAAAAATACTTCTGCAATATTTTACCAAATAAGAAGAAAAATTGTAGCAATCAAATCATGAATATTATAAAGAGTTAAAGTATTTTATATGAGATCATTAAAAAAGTAATTAGAAAGTAAAGAATTATTTTATTTTAACTAATTTTATTTCAATATTAAAAAATAGAATGGTAGATATGATTGATTGTTCTGCTTTTGGACTAGTTCAATTTTAAAAATATTAGGGTATATTCTAGATAATCAGAAAAAAAACTTAGAGATGTTGGAAAAACAACAATTTTCATAAGACCAACTCCAATGGAACACTAAAACATCAAATTTAGTGTGATCTCATTTCCAATAAGACACTAAAAATTATACCATCCCACCAATTTGGTGTAGAGTGAATAGTATTACACCAAAATTTTAAATTAATGTATTTTATTACTTTTTGTTTAATTATAAATAGATTAATTTTATCAAGCTAAAAAGAATATATCATATTATTTCTATGTTTTATTTGTACTTTCACATTACTAAAACTTTAAACTATTATTGTATTTATATTTTTAATTAATAATATAATTAAATGAGTATTATCAATTACATTAAATTATAAAAAAATCATTTTAAATATGTAAATTTTTAATTTCAAAGAATATTTTATACAATAAATAAATAAGTATAAAAATTTACTAAAAGAAAAAATAACATTTATAAATAAACATAAAGATGAAATTAGTAAATTTTAATAAATAGATATAAAAATTAAATTTGATTAATATAATTAGTCAATTGTAAAAAAAAATATTAAATTATCAAAACAAAAAATTAATAATATAATATTGTTTTGGTGTAGAATTTTGTGTAATAGTTGGAGATAAAAAAAAAAATTAAAATACACCAAATTTTGTGTAATGGTTAGAGATGTTCTAATAAACAAATGATTTTTTTTCTAACCAATAAACAAATGATCTTGGTATGCCTCATCAAGGACGCAAATGACAAACCGATTCTCAAACCAACTATCAAAACAGCAAAACCACATGCGCGAACACACACATATAGTCTTCATATTTGCATCTCCTTTAGCGAACCCTCGGTCGCTCTGAGTATATTTTGTAGAATAACAAGATCTGAAGATGAAAATATAACTTGTATCTTATTCAACTTGAGAACATTTACAACGGCTGTGTTTCTTAAAGGTAGAAACAGGCAGAGATGCTTTGATATCGTGAGCTGTCTTCTCCGTACGAGGATCATAACATGAACGTGTTCTCTATCTTTTTCCAGAGCTCCCCTCTCCTCTGTCTCCTCTGTTAACGGTTAACATATTAACCGAAATGGGCTTAATGGGCTTAACATCTTTCTGCACATCTGTACGCGGCCCAAACACACATTTGAGACCTTCTGTACCATCAAGAGTCTTTGACTCACAACCTTCTGCACCAGCAAGAGCCTTTGGCTCACTTGGTCTAATACTCCCCCTCAAACTTGGAGTGGGGGACTCAGAAACTCCAAGTTTGCACCTCAGACGAACAAACGGATCATGACTCAATGACTTGGTGAACACATCCGCGAGCTGTAGAGATGCAGGAATGTGTCTAACCTCCAATGCTTTCATAGCAACATGTTCCCTCACATAATGGTAGTCGATGTCAAAGTGCTTTGTCCTTTTATGAAACATTGGATTTGCCGTAAGACACACTGTAGATAAGTTGTCACATAGTAACAAAGGAGTACGCTGCTGAGTGAGTCCCATGATACGGAGCAAATTTTGCAGCCACACAATCTCAGAAGTAGCCATAGACATTGTTCTATACTCTGCTTCAGTTGAGGATTTGGACACAGTATCATGACGACGAGCACACCAAGAAATGACATTCGAACCCAACAAAGTACATAAACCACCAGTAGATCTTCTTGTTTCTTTACAACCGGCCCAATCACTATCACTGTAACAGACAAGAGTGGAATTCGAACTAGAGTTGATGCTTATTCCCATGCTCATAGTACCCTTAACATACCTGAGAATGCGCTTCAACAAGTGGTAGTCAGATTGACTTGGTGAATGCATCCGTTGGCAGATGAAATTGACAGAGAATTGCAGGTCAGGACGTGTCAAAGTGAGATATTGAAGTTTGCCTGCTAGACTTCTGAAGTAAGAGGGATCAGTGAAAAGTTCATCTTGACCAGGCAATGATGACAAAAAACATTGCTCTGATACCATGTAGAATAACAAGATCTGAAGATGAAAATATAACTTGTATCTTATTCAACTTGAGAACATTTACAACGGCTGTGTTTCTTTATATACAGACACACTAAAGCTACTACTTGACCTAATGCTCACATTAGCACACACAAGCATTTAGGCAACCAAAACTGTTAAAGGTAGAAACAGACAGAGATGCTTTGATATCGTGAGCTGTCTTCTCCGTACGAGGATCATAACATGAACGTGTTCTCTGTCTTTTTCCAGAGCTTCCCTCTCCTCTGTCTCCTCTGTTAACGGTTAACATATTAACCGAAATAGGCTTAATGGGCTTAACATCTTTCTGCACATCTGTACGCGGCCCAGACACACATTTGAGACCTTTTGTACCATCAAGAGTCTTTGACTCACAACCTTCTGCACCAGCAAGAGCCTTTGGCTCACTTGGTCTAATATATTTCTCCTGTCTTTAACATACTCGGCGAAACCGTATTGAAAACCTTCGGTTTATATATCAACCTCAATCAGACCCCGATGAAATACGACGGATAACACTTCTCTTATACAACATACACATACACTATTCAACAACGTTGTCAAACTAGTGATATTTTGTCAATTCGAAACTATTCTTTTACCTTAATAGTTAGACTTTATAATTCAAAGATTTAGACAAAACTGGTTTTGATCCCTTACTCACTCGCTTAAAAACGAGAAGTAACACTTTAATAAAAACTAAATTTTGGTTCATCTTCATAACAAGCCAGTAACGGGATACAGTGAAAAAGAATGGGCAAAGGCGAAAATACAATCTACTATATGTTATGTTAACGTCTCTGATTTTCTATCTTATTAAAGCAACAAAAGGGGACCCGTAACGACCTAGAAGGCCATGTGTCGAGAGTATTGTCGAATTATTTGCTTTTGGACCGACCTTATCCATCGTTGGACCGTTGTTGCCTTTTTAGTGCCTCGGTGCTTTTGTCTTATGCTCCTTTACAAATAAACCAAATTAAATTATGTTGCTAAAAACCAAAATAAGAAAATAAAATCTTTCAAAAGCTAAAGGGACGTCTGTTAGGTAACGGTTAGTGGGTAAACTTCCGGGAAGAAATATAAAAAAAAGTATTTTAAAAAGTATTGGTTCTGTGGTATTGATGGCATGCAAAAAGGAGATAATATATTATTAGTTTTTTAAAATTTGATATATTTAAGTACAATATTTAATTTGAAAAAGAACTGGTAGACACGAAAGGTATATTATTTTTTCGTGGCCGGTTTGTTTTGGTTATAGTAGCTCACTATGGTCTGTTCCAGTTCACTAAACCCCTACATATGTGGAGACTGAGTTTATAAGGAAACAAAGAAATGATTTTGGTCAAAATCTGCTTCTTATGTCACATGAGATCCGTCAATGACCTAATCTTTTCAAATGGTAATGTAACTACGAGTTAGAGTACTTTCTCAAAAAAAAAAACTACGAGTTAGAGTAACGGTTATGTCACTGATAATGTATGTATGTCAAAAAGAAGAAGATAATGTATGTATGTTGAGTCGTTGGTCGAATATTCGGAATATTCTCACACATGCTTACACTATGTAACTGAATTGTGAGACAAAATCATACCAATGTAACTGAATTTAGAGATCTATACATGGTTTAACTATTTTTTTCACGACATATAAGTCTTTTCAAGAAAATGTATTAGTTTCAACTTTTAAAAATATTAGTTTCAACTCCCCAAACATAAAATTATACTTCTCTACACAAGAATTCAAACCTGACAACACAAAAAGAAATTGTTGACAAATAAAAACAATTTAAAATATTGATTCTTTCTCAGAATCAACTACGGATATAGCCTAATGAAAAATTAGTCTGATTCGCTAAGTTTATAGAGTCAATATACATAAGTAATATAGCTATATAATTCACAAAATATATATATTTTCAATTATTTTTAAAATATTATTTAAATAAACTATTGTAGCGTAAAATATTTAAGATCACTTTTTTTTTGTCAACTATTTAAGATCACTTCTACCTTTTGTTTTTACCTTATTGCTGTTGCTTAAGTAGAAAACACTGTTTTAGATATTAATCATTTACATACAGAGAAGAGAACCCAGAAAAGCTAATAAGAAAAAGGTTATCTACAAGAATTACCCTGATAGATATATTTCTTTTTTTCCCTTTATGTCAAAGAAGAAACAGCAAAAGTTAATAGGAACACTGAACGCGATGATTCTTGTCCCTAAGAATCCCATTGTACAGAGCAATCCGGTTAGGAGGCATGTCGTTTCTGCAAACCGAACCGGTCTTATCCGGTTTAATCATTGGTTCCCGTAGACTTTCCCTCTTCTTACGATACTCTTCACCGTTTCCTTTAGGCTCTTTCACATTCTCTGCAAACTTCACCTTCTTCTTCGTCTTCTTCTTCCTCTGTTTCTTCTTTTCCTCTGTATCGATAAAACAAAAAAGTTAGAAACTTTTTCTAGCCGGAGGATGATCGGAGAAGACAAAAGAGTACCTGAACAAAGACATGGTCGGAGGATCTGTTGATCAGATGTTTGATGATTACCAGAGAATTGGCGGGAAATCGCCAGAAACAGAGCAGTGCTTGAGAAAACCATGGCGGTTGCGATCACGACGCCATGAGAGCAGGTCAGTATGCAAGTCATGTGTTTATATGCTAAACTGGGATCAGAGAAGAGAAGAGGTTCTTCGCTCAACTTTCAGATGAAAAAGAGAGAGAGAGAGTTTGAATTTGTACTTTTAGAACTTTCTTTTATTCAGAGAAGAGGCAGAGAGGTGGTTGATAAATGAATGAGTTTAAAAGGAGGGCATGTGTGTGTGTGTTGCAGAGAGATTGGTCGTACCAACAAAGTCACGCAACCAACAAGTACTGCTTGTAGTTGAAAGGTGAGGGATATCTTCTCTAAAGCAGAAAAGGTTGGAGTTTATTTAGAAGTGGGATTGAAAGAAAATTGTGGGGAAAAGTTCTGACAATAATCATAGGTTTGGAGTTTCTTTGTGTGCTGTCTTCTCCTTTATCTTCTGTTGGAGAGAGAGAGAGAAAGATAGATTGGTGTTTGGTTTTATTAGTCACAGGCTCAAAAATCAAGTGGAAATGATAAAATCTTCTATCATAATAAAATCTTCATTGTCTTTAGTTTCTGACCATATTTATAACTAGATTCACTGGATGGACTTATTTATATGTATAAGAGGTATAAGATAAATATAAGTCAATTATCAAACTTATCTACTGTTGTTAACCCATGTTCACATAATTATTTAAATCTATACAGATTTAATTATAGAGTTATTTACATATTAAAAACCAGATCTTGATGCAATGCATATTTTTTTTTTTCTGTTTTATAAACAACTTTGACCACATTCAATAAATAAAAACTCTATGCACGTTGCTTACTTTTATTAGTTAAAATGATTTTCGTATGTCATCGTTAGTTTATATGTTTTTCTATTAGTAAAAAAATATTATAGTGTTAAAGTTTTTGTCTTTGTCCCTTCCTTCTCAGATTTTTGTTAAATTGTCAATAACGTTTTTGTCATAAAAATTATAGATTAGTTTCTAGCTAGCTTACTCTCTAAACAACTTCTAAATAACTTTACATTAAGAGAAAATGTCTTGAAGAGAAATATAGAAAGACAATAGAGTCAAAAGAGCTCAATGAATCTCTTCCACTCAACACCGACTCATGGTTTGTGGGTGTCTTTGGACAAAAAAGTTTTAGACCCTTTAACAATTAAAACACAATTAAAACACAATTTTTTTTTAAAAAAAAAAATATATTATAGCGAATGTTATTAAATTTAGATACGAATTCATAAAATAAACTGTTTAGAATATATGAATATTTATTTGTTCTAAAAAAAATATTTTTTCCATCAAAGAAAAATATTTTTTTAAAAAATAATAGAAAATTTAGATCTTTAATATCATTGGTCCTAATAACTGAGCCAGCCCTGCTTCCACTTAGTTTGATGTCTGTCATTAACCTGAGGACAGAACCAAAGCAGAATCTGGCGTTTACGTGAGCTCGGCTGTCGCCGCGTGTCCTATTTCAAAACCTAACTTTGCCGCGTTTAAGGACGTTAAGTCGTTATTGTGTTCAAAAAACAAAGTCGTTATTATGTTTATGTCTTCAACATGTTTGTGCCAAAGACGTTTTTTATCAATAAATTATCCAAGCAAGGTATAATCACATTTTTATTAATCGGTTAGCTACTTGTATCTTATATTTTATGTTTACGATTTATTAGGGCATAAATTTAGATTTATAATGACATAAAAATTAACTCAGAACCAAACAATCGTTTTTACAATAACTGTGAGTTTAATACTTAAATTTATTCAGAAGAAAAAAATGATTAAGAGGCTGGAGGTGGGTAGATCGAGTTGGTAATTTGGAAGTAAACCATCTAACCAAAGCACCTTCATGTAGATTCCCTGTCATCCCTCTGAAAAAAGGAGATTCTGTTGCGGGCTGTTTTGTCAATGTTTCGAATAATATGAGCTAACCTCATTTGGTAAGCGAATGTATTAAGTAATCTTTATAATTATAAATAACAAACAGTTTGACTGAAATTGATCAATATGAATTCAAAAAGAATACGCTACGAACATGTTTAACATGAAGTTTGTTATAAAGAGGACTGGTCAACGTGTAATTCTTCCGGAACTTCTTGAAGTTTTTGATTGTGATATAAAAAAGACTTAGATCAACTTCTCTAGTTCCTTGTGCCTAGTACTTTACGTGTTCTACACAACTTTCAACGATCTATATTATATATGCATGAGTTAGGACCAGTGGCGGAGCCACATGGTGAGTGGATGGGGCGGATGCCCCGGATGATTTTTAAAAATTTTATGTAAAATTTTGATAATGATCTTCATGTCCCGGTATGTTCCTTAAAGAATATTGATAATGCCCCCCATAACATTCATCTCTAGATCCGCCCCTGGTTAGGACAAGCACATTTGTGGTCCGGATGTTGGAACTCATTTAGATTTATCTAATATCTTTGTGATCGTCGTGAATTCAATACATAATTTTTCTTCTTAGCATTTCCAATTTTATGTATATAATCTTGACAACTACGTATAACAAACATACATAGCAAGAGATAAGATTTTAGCATCTATCATCTATGATCATGGTACGGCAACTTGTTTATAGGACATTAACTAACTGAAAGAGAGATATCACTAGAGGTTAAAAGTCCTAAAAGTTTCGAGAGAACCTAAAGAAAGAAGTCACATGGGTCGATTGACTTTGACGTCCGAAATAAAATCAACCTCACACGTTTAGTACACTCTTTCTTCAATTGTATTCACACTTATCCACGCCTAATGATGTTGACGGTAAGCCAAATTTTTGTGTGAACTTCCGTAATTTAGTTATGATAAGAACGGATTTAATTTTGTGACGTTTTGGCAAAACTCATAAACAAGTCCATTCTAATTATATAGTACTCAATCCTACCAGAAACGACCTAATCCATTAAACGTGTGTGTTGTAATGGGGTCGCATTTAGTGGTTAACGAGAGACAATAGAGAACTGGTCCGCAAGACTACAAGCTTTTATCGCCCTAATCCCTCTCCCCAAGTCTCTAAACATGATTTCTTTCTCAAATTTCTAGTTAGAATTCTCTTTTCATTTATCTCTCAATCTGACTGACCATAAAGGTAGAGGGCTAAACATAGAAAGCAACAGTAATACCAAATTGTATAGGGCTAAACACAGATTGCAGGAACGTAATGCTGATGAGGATTGTATCGTCTGGATGGATAGTAAAACACTAAAACACGTTTGAACAAAAAAAAAAACCACTAAAACACATGGTTGTATCAGATGACGGTTAAATATCTAATACATTTTTAAAATTTAGAATACACTATAACTATAGAACAATTTCTAAAAACTGAAACTGAAACAACAAAATTTCGAATTTTCAAAAAAGAGGATCGTTTTGTACAGTTTGGAAAACTTTTAACTCTAACTTTCGATTATAAAAGAGGAAATAAACCAAATTGATATATAAAAATAGAAAAAATTAAAATATTCAAAATGCTGTAAAGAAATTGAAATGCCATAATATTTTTTTATGAGAATGCGGTAAAAAAAAAACTCAAACTTTACATGAATTCCCAAAATAAACACGAACATATTGTCTGGCCAAAAAAACACTGAACTATATTTGACTTTTAAACTTTAATCAGTAAGTTATCGCTGACTCGCTAAATATACACGCTGTTAGTAAACTTGACAGGATGATTGAACAACGTTTGCTAAGATCCATTAAGTAAAACGACGTCGTTTTGAGATGGGATGAAACGACGTCATTTTGCCTATTTTTATTATAAAAACATGTTGATCGTGTGAGTCAAACCTGAGAACTCATGGTCAAATTCGAGGTTTCTTGCCACTGTGCTACTGACATTTTTAAGGAAATCTCTAACATGTTTTCTTTTATTGAGTATCAAAAATATCTTGAAAAATTTAAATTCTTTTTTAAAACTTCCAAAAGATCTTATAAACTCAAGAAAATTATGAAAAAGTAAAACTAAAATTGAAATTAGAAAAAAAAATTGTTTAAAAATCAAAACATTAAAAAATTGAAAAAATCTAAAATAATTCAAAGAAATGAAACAAATTAAATTTAATGATTAAAAAACTTGAAACCTATTTTTATATAAATTAATGTGTGTAAGATAAAATAAAAAATGATCTTTATCACACTATAGATTTTAGTATGAATAATGTATTTAAGATAAAATAGAAATGATAATTAAGATAAAATAAACAAATGATATTATCACAAATTGTTTTGCTAAAATATGATATTGAATGAACATACAACAAAAAAAAGATTTTTATATATTACTAAATAATAATTAACTAAAAACATTTGTAGTTTTTGGTGTATGTTCGTTTGTTATCATATCGTAGCAAATTTTTTTTTACTGTTTTTAGAAAACCAAAATTGTACTAAAACATAAACTGTGATAAATATCATTTTTTATTTTATCTCAAATATTTTAATTTATAACAAAAAAAAAACAAAAAACGTTCAAAAATAAAAAATAAAATCTAAAAAATTCAAATGCAAAAAATTAAAATTAATGACTAAAATAATTTGAAAACTCTTATATAAATGAATGCATGCAAGATAATATACAAAATTATATTTATCACACTATATTTTTTGTATGATTAATGTATTTAAGATAAAATACACAAATGATTTTAGATACATTAATTTTTATAAAAAAAATATTTTTTAAAAGATTTTAATCATTAGTTTTTTTGTCGTCTTTTTAATCATTAGTTTTCCGCATTTTTTGTTTTTTTTTTAGATTTTTATGAAGGTTTTAATTAATTTTAGCGAAAATAGGTTTTATTTGTAATTTAATTTTTAGTTTTAATATTTTCAGAATTGTTATTAATTTTTTGAATTTTGTAAAATTTTAAGGTTTTAAAAGATTTTTTGGATACTTAATAAAAGAAAATATGTTAGAGATTCATGAGAAGTATCGTTAGCTTGGTGGTGAAAGACCATGTTGTTTGGCTTTGAGTTCGAGTCTTGAGATAGACATATTTTTCGTTTTAAAAACACACAAAACGACGTCGTTTCACTTAACGTCGATATTTAACATCAAAATAACGGCGTCTACACTGTAAAATCATGATAAGTTCTCAAATAAAATTAAAAAGTCAAAAAAATACAGTATTTTTTTTGTCAGCTTCGAGTTCATGTTTTATTTGGCAATTCGTGCAAAGTTCGTGGTGTTTTGGGCCGAATTCCCTTTTTTTATATATATACACCAAAGTGATGGAAATTAAGATGACTTGACCAACAAAAGTAAGTGATTTCTGATAATTGACGCAGTTTGGTTAGTTATTCTTCTCCCAGCTGGTTTTGAATGCAGTCCGTTTAGTTTAGAGAGGCAAAACAAAATTACCGAACATTACTTCTTAATGTAGTTAATTAATGAGACTAAAAGGTGAAAAACCCTAACGTTGGCCACAAGTCTTCTCCGAGTCTTTCTCTCAGCTTCACATTTCCCCCTAAATTTACGGGAAATCAAATCTAATCCTCAAAACTCAACCAAAAAGCCAACGAGCAAAACGGGCGTTATACTCTCTTTTCCAGAAATGGGGAAGAGACCGCCGATACCACCAGACATAGAAAAGGGAACACCACCATTGCCACCATTACCACCACCAGCTCGACCGCAGTTTCGCCCCCCTGTTCCCGTGCCGTGGTACGCATGGCTCGTGCCTCTCATATTTGCAGCTAACTTCATTACATTCGCCACCACAATGTACTTGAACGATTGCCCCTCGAGATCAGATAACTGTCTCTTGTTTGATGTCCTTGGAAGGCTTTCCTTTCAACCTATAAAAGAGAATATGCTTCTTGGTCCTTCTATTCCGACGTAAGAAAGAGATGAACAAGAATTATGTTACTACTTTTGGTTATATACATATATAATGGATGCATATTTGTTGTTGGTTTAGGCTGAGAAGACTTGGAGCTCTTGAGAGGAGACTTGTGGAGGAAGGTGAGAAATGGCGTCTCATCTCTTGCATTTGGCTTCATGGTGGGCTCCTTCACCTGCTGGCTAACATGATCAGCCTTCTATGTATCGGAATGCGTCTTGAACAAGAATTTGGATTCTGTAAGTATCTTTAAACCTAGGACCAGTCCTGAGATTTTGAAGGATAAATAATTTACTAATGATTTATTAAAAAAAAATCAAAATAATTTTGGAGATCTACTTTTATGTAAATTATCTCTAAAAGTCTGGGGGTTGTATGCCAAGTTTCTATGTTTTCTGTCTTCAAGAATCAAAGTTTACTTTTATCTGAAACTACAGTGAGAATAGGAGCTTTGTATGTAATCTCCGGGCTTGGTGGAAGCATTATGTCTTGTTTGAAAGATTCAAGAGGAGAACGTGTATCAGTAGGAGCATCAGGCGCCTTGTTCGGGTTACTCGGTGCAATGCTATCAGAGCTGATCACAAACTGGACAATCTATGAAAATAAGGTAAAATTTTATCACCATCAATCTTCATGGTACACTATTGAAAGCTGATTTTAATTTTACTTTTTGCAGTGTACATCACTTATGACATTGATCCTGATCATTGCACTGAACCTAAGCGTCGGATTATTACCACGTGTAGACAATTCTGCTCATTGTGGAGGATTCTTAGCCGGTTTTTTCCTAGGGTTTGTCCTTCTTCTCCGTCCGCAGTACGGATACGTGAACCCCAAGTACATTCCACCTGGTTATGACGTGAAACACAAGAAATCAAGACACAAGTGTTATCAACACGTCTTCAGGATTACATCTCTAGCCATTCTTCTTGCTGGGTAAGTTCACCAAAGACTCAGTGAATCATTTCTTCATAAGACACCTCTAACACTTATTCAAGGACTAGGTTATACCATCCGCATAGACAAAAACCCAAACCTGACCATTAAATGATTAAAACTTTACTGCAGATTCATAGCGGGATATACTAAGCTTCTAAGAGAACATACCGCAGAGAGCGTGCCATTCAGAGATGTCAATTAGCATCTGTAAAAGTTCATTTCGCAAGATCCCAAGATTTTATTCATATTTGATACAAACACCAGCACCAGAAAAGGTTTTACATTTGATGATTCGAGAAGTATAACATATGTATCGGTTGTTCAAGGCTGTTGTAACTATACATGTGTATGAAAAAGCATATATTAACCTGTAGGAAACATTTTTCATATATCTAGTTTCTAACAAACTAGGATCACAAGTCAATGATGTATCAAACTAGGATCACAAATCAATGATGTAGTACTGTGTCCTTAGCGTTAAGTGCCTCCCCAATTTGGAGACAAACGTAAGAAAAGTGAATCTTGAGAAAATAAACACTGTAACTTAAAAAACAATATCAATTTTGTTTTTACCTTTGCATGAGCATTACTCTCTGTCTTGATAGGATCATTAGTTTTTATTCCTACGCTGCCATAATCAATATGCTTTACTCCATACCCTTTGAATTTGTTTGTGAGTGCTTCAAAGCCTTGAAACATTTCTGAGATCTCTATAGATTCTTCGATCTTTACATAACCAGATGATGCATGTAAATGATAAGGCTGACCCAATCCATCGATTAAGGCATCTTAGAAAGATATTTTTTAGTTTATTTTCTTATTAATCTATATAGATAAATAAAATTGATAGTTGCATAATTAGAAGAATATCTGTTAGGCATTTTTATTTTTAATGCCTTGAGAGCTCATATTTGAAATCTTGAAATTTTCTTAAACAATCATATGCATTTAGATATAATTGGTGATGATTGTTTATGTTACGAAAGATTTTCTGATAATCAATAATAGAAGAGGTTAGATGATAACTATGTTTTATTACATACCAATTAACCTAATGTACACTTTACCGCAGTCAAATGGTATATTAATACACCACTTTAGGACCAAAGCCACAAGAAATTTAGTGATCTATAAGACTAGGAATACATAAACTTTCTTAATATAAGCAAATAAAAAGATGGATGATTGGTAACAAGTTAAGATCCTAGAAATATAAACAAGGTGATCTCAAATTCAGTCAAGAAAAAAAGTGCAATAACTAAACCTTCAATCAAATGCTAAAGATGGATCCATGGACAAGGATAATTGCTATTAAGTGATCAAGGTTCAATTTAGGATGTTAAACAAAACAATATAAGTGTATAGGTCTAGATCTCATAAAACAGACTAATCCACTTCCTTGATCGAAATCTCTTTGTAATCAAGTACTAAACATCGAATGTCTTTGGTTTAATACTATCAAACAAGCATTGTGATTAAGTCTACTAACTATCTAGCAATCCAAACATCAAATGTCTTTGGTTTATCAAGCAAGAACAAGATTAATTTCATGCATGCAAGCATTTTAACAAACACTTTTCGGATATAAAATAGTTTAAAGTCTAGATGACAGTAATCAAATCCAATTTAACATTAAAAATACTTAGCAAGCATAGAACAATGTATTAGGCAAGAAACATCCAAAATATTCATCTAATCAATCTAATTCACGTAATCCATGAATCACAAGGTGACTACTCACTAATCTTTATGAAAACCTTAAACTCATATGAAATTCAAGGTAATCATGTTAAGGAGTAAGACATAGGCCATGTTTGTTTAGGTGTCGTGCGACCTGCGAGTTGCGACATGCGACAAAGAGTATGTTCGTTTACGTGTCGTGTAATCTGCGACTTATGACCTGTGACTAAACCCACAACCTACGACTAAAATCATGTTTGTTTACGTGTCGCATGCACGTTTTGAGATATGTGACTAGTCGTGCAATCAAAATTGTCTTAATTTTTGATCGTTGTTTCTTCGGGTGACTTGAAATCAAATCATGTGATTGGTTGTGCGACATGAAAACAAACAACATGCGCCAATGCAACATACGATCAGTCGCAGGTCGCAGATTACATGACAGCAAAACGAACAACAACATGTGACCTGTGATTGGTCGTAGGTCGCACGTCGCAGATCGCAAATCACAGGTCGTGCGATTGATAAACGGACAGGGTCATACACAAATATAAATGAAATACTTCTTTAAATAATCAAAAATTTCAAGGTTTTATAAGATTAGGAAAATTTTTGAGACAAAATTAAAAATAGGGTCTTAGGTCTAGTTCTATTTATAGCAAACTAGGAAAGTAAAACTCGAGCTGGTTTAATCCCCACAAACCAAAGACAACCGGAATAAACCGGTTAACATTTGGAATTTGTGTCTTGTCTTCTCCGTAGCGGCCTTTGCATCCCGTTTCGGTAAGCTGCTGTAAAGCTCGTCACGTTCCCAGCGATATCACCACGTCGCTACAGTTTGTCGCTATCTAGTCCGTTCTTGAGATATGATAACCAATTATAAGTCCCAAACTAGTAACCTACTTTCAGGCTAGAAGTAAGGGGATGCACAGACATAGGAGTTGACCACAAAGGAAGAAGGATCAGCTCAGAGAACCTGAAATCGTTGATGATAATGGCGTTGCTTGCACAGAAAGTAATAAGAGATTGAGATGAATGTAAAACTTGATTCTTATTATTAAAACTTGTGAAGGCTACGCCTTATATTAAACTCAAAATTCCTAAACCTAAAACACTTTGGATCATTATCCTAACAAGTTTGATAATTATCCATAGGAAGAAATATAAATAAAACTAATAAGAAAACGTAAAACGTAATGAAGTCGGTTTAGTAGAAACGGTGACGTTTGTGCTGTCACAATACTTCCTCCTTCAGAAAATACTTCATGTGGTAGGTGAATCAGACGTCATGTAGGGAAGAAAGTTTCCAAAGTTTTGTTAGTAACTTCGGTCTGTCCATCAGACGGGGTCTGGTATGCTGTGGAGAAGTTTAAATCGACACCATGAACACGAAAAATCTCTCTCCATACCTCACTAAGAAACGTTGGATCACGATCACTTGTAATGTCTTTGGGATTCCGTGTAGGGGAAAAACCTGATCCAAGTATAGCTTTGCGACGTCCATGGCTGTATATGGGTGAGACAAAGCGAGAAAGTGTGCATTCTTACTTAGTCTATCAACAACAACGAGGATGCAATGTATACCAGATGGTGGTGGTAATCCTTTCATAAAACCAAGACTGATTGATTCCCAAACACTAGTAGGTACCAGAAGAGGCTGGAGAAGTCCAGGTTTGGCGGCCAAATCATATTTATTTATCTGGCAAACCGGACAATTCCTGATGTAGTTCTGAACCTCCAAGCTCATCTTGGGCCAGAAGAACAGTGATTTGATTCATTGCAGTGTTGCATCGCGGCCTAAATGACAACCTACAGCGGAATCATGGAGCCATTTATAGATATGAAGTTTGATAGATGGATCGTTACCAACTACAAGCTTCTCGCGGGGGCAAAGCTCCCCATTGATAAAAGAGTATGTGGCGTGTGATGAGGGTTTAGCCTGCAGCTTAGTGAAAATTTGCTTAAAGGCGGGGTTTGTATCCCAAAGGAGCTTCAGAGCCTCATAGAACCCGTGGTGAGCTTGCGAAAGTGACATCTCAAGAAGTTGTGAACCCGAAACTCTAGATAAAGCATCTGCTACGAAGTTTTCTTTGCCTTCCTTATACTGAATATCAAAACTATAGCCCATTAATTTTGATAACCGCATGTGCTGGAATGGAGTGGTGATCTTCTGTTCCAAGAGGTATTTCAAACTCTTTTGATCCGTCTGAATGATAAACTTTTTGTGAGCTAAATATGGATTCCAGGTTTGTACGGCGTGAACCACAGAAAGGAGTTCCTTTTCGTAGACTGATAGACATTGATGGTGAGGTCCTGATGCCCGACTGATGTAACACATTGAGTGATTGTATTGCATAAGAACTGCGCTATGCCAGTATTAGAGGCATACGTTTCGATGATAGAAGTATTTGTAAAGTCGGGGAGTGCAAGGACTGGAGCTGAAATTAGAGCTTGTTTCAGTAGATGGAATGTTGTTGATGCCTTTGTATCCCAGGAGAAGCCCTCTTTGCGGAGCATGATAGTAAAGGGGACGAGCGATGATGTTGTATCCTTGTATAAACCTCCGATAATAATTGGTGAATCCCAAGAAGCTTTGAAGTTGCTTTTGGTTATTCGGGGGTGGCCAATTTTCAACTGATTTTATCTTTGGTGGATCAGTGCTGATGCCTTCTTTAGAAATAAAGTGACCGAGGTATTCGATTATTGTTGCGCCAAAAGTACACTTTGATTTCTTGAGATAGAGTTGTTGATGTCACAGTATAGCAAAGGTTGTATCCAAGTGGACAAGATGTTCTTCCCAGTTCTTGCTGTAGATTAGTATATAGGCAAAAACGTGATTCATGAGTCCCTGAAACGTGCAAGGTGCGTTAGTGAGACCGAACGACATCATGAGTTTGTGAAACCCTGCTCGTAAGTCCAGGTTAGAATTTTTTTTTTAGCTGCCCAATTCATCGAGTAGATCCTCTAGGAGTGGTATGGGGTATTTGTCTTTGATTGTTTGCTTATTGAGACCTCTGTAGTCTACACATAGCTGCCAAGAACCATCTTTCTTTTTCACAAGTACTACTGGTGAGTCATAGGGACTTGCACTATATTGAATGATACCGTGAGTAAGCATATCTTGGATCATCTTATCTATTGAATTCTTTTGTAGCGAGGAGTAGCGATAAGGTCTGAGATTGATCAGATTTGCTCCTGCTTCCAATGGGATTTTGTGGTTGAAACCCTCATGATATGGAGGTAAGGAAGATGGTTCATCAAAGACGTCTATGTACGATTCAAGTAATTGTTTTAGTGAACCAGTGTCATCGATCGCTTCACCACTTGCTTCAATATGATAAAGAATTGTTTCTGGGTCAAGGGGTTGTTGCTCTTTGTCTATGTTGTTAACTTCACGAAGATGGAGTAGCGTGATTTGTGGTTTTTGCAACATAAGTTTGTTGAGGGTGCTTGCGGAGACAACTTTAGAGATGTTTGGTGTTATCCCTCTAAGAACATGTTTCAGACCATTGAAATTAAATT